CCATTAGCAATTCAGATACCCTCCACTTGAACACGTGTTTCATCTATCACACCCAAAACAACCCTTATCCACACGTGTAAACTCCACCACCCATCCACACATACACTCTGCTTCCAATTCCCTCCAGCACAGAAGCGGATCTTTCTGATATCTATACTCCGATTCCCTTGAACACCACAATTACCACAAGTATTTTTATTTTCTTCTATCCAGATGACGTGACAGCCTCTATTTACATCCAGAACACACACACACTGACTTTCCACACTACACTGTCACTCAGCAAATATCTTGTCCTCCACTTTAAATAGGTATACATGGAATAAAAATTAATAAAAATTAAGATAAGAAGTTGAAGCACCAAGAATTATATTCACTTTAACATAAAGAAATGTCTTTGTGTTCAAACCTTCTATTCTTAATTTTTATTAATTGTTATTTTCATATCCAGTATACACAATAAAAGAGAACATGGACAAGTTCTGAGACCATTTTATAATGAAAAAGTCATTTGGTTACTTCTCATCTTAAATAGAATCCTCTGGTCAAAGTCAATTCTGATAAAAAATAAAAAATACTATAATAATGAAAGTATTCATTAGTTCAAAAGAAGGGAACAGCTAAGATATAGAGGAAGATCCCTTGCTATGAATGCTATGAAGGAATTTACAAGGAGAAGCAGAACATTTAAGTCATCTCGTATTCAAAGGAGTATCTCAACAAAGTTTACCACAAATGTGATAAATCTGAAATCAGGAAGTTTCTTTGAATGAAAACACAAACACAACATTTCAATAAAAATTGAGATAAGAATATCTGAATTGCTAACTGGAAAAAAAGTTAAACTCAGAAAATAAACATGAATATGTAGCACAAAATAGAAGTGGAATAAACAGCCAAGGAATTCATATACAACATTGTATTTGAGAGAAGAGAGTAAATAAGACATCATATTTAAAGTAATAATTGTGAACTATTCTTATCTAAAGAAAATGGTTCATTTCTATAAGCCAAACTTAATAATAGAGGATCTATGAACATTTATAACTCCTGACCTTGAGCAATCCGCCCGCCTCGGCCTCCCAAGAGCTAGGATTACAGGCGTGAGCCACAGCGCCCGGCCTTGGATAGATATTTTTTAGTTCACAATTTTTTCTTGTTTATATGTCTCAGAATCTTATAGCTGTGGTCCAGAGTGATTCTTTGGTCTTTGTCTTTAACCATTTTGCTTATTTCTTAGTTTTCCTTTTCTATTGTTGTTATTTATTTTTTGTACTTACATGCTTTACTTTCTTAATCTTGAAATTAAAATATTTCCATGATAAATGTTTCATACGATCCTCTATTATTAAGTTTGGCTTATAGAAATGAACCATTTTCTTTAGATAAAGAATAGTTCCACAATTATTACTTTAAATATGATGTCTTATTTACTCTCTTCTCTCTCAAATACAATGTGTGTATATTGAATTCCTTGGCTGTTTATTCCACTTCTATTTTGTGCTACATATTCATGTTTATTTTCTGAGTTTAACTTTTTTTTCCAGTTAGCAATTCAGATATTCATTATCTCAATTTTTATTTGAAATGTTGTGTTTGTGTTTTCATATCAAAGAAACCTTTCCTGATTTCAGATTTATCACATTTGTGGTAAACTTTGTTGAGATACATCCTTTAGAATACAGAGATGACTTAAATGTTCTGCTTCTCCTTGTAAATTCCTTTCATAGCATTCATAGCAAGGGATCTTCCTCTGATATCTTAGCTGGATTCCCTTCTTTTGAACTAATGAATACTTTCATTATTATAGTATTTTTTATTTTTTTATCAGAATTGACTGTGACCAGAGGATATTCTATTTAAGATCAGAAAGTAACCAAATGACTTTTTCATATACAAATGGTCTCAGCAAATATCTTGTCCATGTTCTCTACTTTATTAGTGTATACTGGATATGAAAATAACAATTAATAAAAAATTAAGAATAAGAAAGTTGAAACACAAAGACATTTCTTTATGTTAAATTGTTTGTTAACATAAAGATATGTATAAGGAAAGGAAAGGAAATAAGGTTAAGAAATCATAAAGTATGAGTTTCCTGAACACAGTTTGCTTGCAGATTAAAGAGGACACAGTAAATTATAGTACTATGCTTGCTAATTTCCTATTTGTTCTTATCTAAGTGCTCATTTTATTGTTTCAATATAGATACTGAAAATTTCAGACAAGAGTGTCTGATTTTTCAGACTAGTGATGCTGAAAATTTCAGACAATTTTCCATACCTTATTTATTACCTACAAGTTAAAAGTCACTGAAACAATTAGAAATTCTTTAAAAATAAAGTTATTTTAGTATTAAAATACTCAAAGCCATCTTCTGATTTTATAGGTGTTTCTGACAATTTTTTAGAGGATGTAGTTTACTATATTTATAAAAAGACTGTGAATTGAGAGGGCTTTGTGAATTGAGATATGTCATTCCCATAGCAGAGGTCCCCATTTTAAGAAGAATGTTGATTGCTCACAGGAGAGAGCAACGAAAATGATGAAGGTGTACTGCAATATATCCAGCTACCCTAGAGAAGGTAAGGCAGGGGAATAATAGAGTAGCTGTCATCAAATATTTGAAAGGAATAATAAATTTATTCCACTGTGCTCCAAATGGCAGAAATAAAATTAAAGGTTGAAATTACAGTGAGAATATTTTGTTCAATAAAAGGAAGACATTCGCAACAGTTACAATCTCTTTGTTGCTGAAGTCCTCGAAGCAGAGACTGGATTGAATATGATAAGGTTTTATGCAGCTGGGTGGGAGGTTTCTTTCAGGATCTCTAAAGGGCCTTTCCTCTCTGAGCTTCTGTGATATTCCACTAAATATCACCAGAGTTTAATTTCACCAGAGTTTTAAGGTTAGAGAGCATTTGTTCTATTCCATTCAAATAAACCTTTATAATTAAAAGAGTGTTTGAATTGTGAAATCTGCAAAGTTGAATTTCATTGCATTTAATTTAGTAAAATTAAAATGCCTAGTGACATCCTGGTTAGAACATTAGCCATATTTAGACTGGTAATTAATGTCTAATTGGACACTAGTACTCAATTTAGTAGTAATGAAATAATGGCTAAAAATACCAACCGGTATTTAAAAAGATATGTGATATATATCCTGAGGCAATTTTCTTAAATGCCAATTATAATTTGACATTTAGAGGCTGAGAGATCTGATTGCTGATGAAAGTCATACTGTGATGCTATTTCACATGGCTATACATTCTGATTTGGAGATATAAAAATATCTTACATAATTAATAGAAATTTTTAAAATAAATATTTTACTTCTGAGAAAATATGTTTTTAAATTAATATACATGTATAACATGAAAACTGAGAGAAATAAATGACTTTTTGACAATTCTGAGCACATTTGGAATATCTTTCTGTCATATAACGAGGTAAAGCATCAGGAAGCAAAACATTTTATGGAATTTCATGTTTTATTCATGCAAAGAATTTGAGTTAGAATTAGTTTCCCAGCACTAATTATAAACTAATTATATATTGTCAGTTAAACATTGACTTATATGCTTTAATTGACAATTGCGAAAAAAATTGTGTTATAATATATGATGAAACTCAGCCAGAATATGTTTTAAAAAGAAACTCACTGTAATGTCTTTCATAGTTGAGCCAAGGGATAGTGCATTAATCAGGGTTCTCCAGAGAAACATATGCAAATACAATATGTATATACATATGTGTGTGTGTGTGTGTGTGTGTGTGTGTATATATACACACTAATTCCTAATAATAAAGAGAGAGAATGATTTTTTCTTTTTTCTTTTCTATTTTTTGTTTCTGTAGAAATCCCATGACTAGCGAGAGTGATTTCTTATTAGGAATCGGCTCATGCAATTATGGAAGCTGACAAGCCCTAAGATCTGCAGGAAGAGTTGGTAAGCTAGAAATCTAAGAGACATGGTGGTATAGCTCCAGTCTGCATTTAAAGGCCTGAGAATGAGGAAAGCCATTGGTACAGTTCCAGTCCAAAGACTGGCCAATTTGAGACCCAGGGAGAGCTATTATATTATACAAATATTACTATGGACATATCAAAAATTAAGGATATAAGATCATAAAGAGTATTAGGAAAAACTTTTGTAGAACTATTTATGCAGATTGTTTAGCACATGGTTTCAAAACTAATAATTTCAGAAGAGAAAGCTCATTTCCCAAAAAAGCAGATACTGTACTTCAAGGTTAGCATGACTCTGTAGATTGGTTTGGTCACAATGGATTTATCAGGCAATGCAATGACAGAGGAAAAATGATTTTTAATATTCAATATAGAGATAAAAATAATGCTGTTACCATGTCATTTATTGTTTCAATATATGCTATTTATTTTTGCTGTTGTTTCACATGTGTTTGTTCTCAGTATTCAAAATTTATGTTCTTTATAGGGCTTTGTGTGGCTTATACCAATTGTTATGCCAACACATAATAGAAGCTCAATTAATATTTGCCATTTGTTAAGGCTGTGGAAACATATCTAGGACATATCTTTATGCAAGTGAGTGGATTTTTTTAAAAAAGAATTCCAAACATATATGCAAAACCAATAAATCAACAAATGAAAAGACAATAACATAAATGATAGCAATCTCTGGAAGATATTTCTTGTTCCCTAACGTTGAATGGATCTAAATAAAATCATGGCGTTGTGCCAGAGGGATACTATTTACACATCATAATAAGGTTAGGTGCTAAAACACAATAATACATTTAAGTCAGAATGAAGCATGGGGAATCTGGGCAGGAAAAACTCCACAGTAAATATTAGAGTGAATTTAGGGTAAACATTAATCAAAATTGTTAGTAAAATCAAAATGAGGGCCAGAGAATATAGAATGGATTATAGGATATTCTGTCAGTAAAAGCAGTTAATTAATTCTGGAGTCTTGATGACATGAGGTTCCTTTTAAAGGCTGTATTGCAAGCTGTATTTCTATGCATCCCACAGAAGGAGAAGCTATTGGATCCCAGCCAGGAATTATCATCCTCAGGATAAAAAAAAAAATTGCAAAAGTCCCGCTTTTCTTCTGGAGTAACTATATCCTCCTGATTTCTATCTTTTCATTATGTCAGATAATGAAATGTCTTATACCACCAGTAAATAAGGAGGATATGCATAGAGATTCTCATGGGCCTCTCAGCTGATGAGACAGGAAAAGACAGTGCCTACTTGTGAAGTAGAATAGGGCTTTGATAGCTCTCCAGTAAATTTGATTATGGTTACATGATAAATGGAATTGTTAAGGCTCAGAAGTTGATTTGCAGTTTTTTACTTGAACTCGTTCTTTCCTCATCTACATTTAGAAGCTGCAAAATGTAAAATGCAGCAAAGTAGAAGTCTCCAGACTTACACTCTACACCTTGATCTTCTACTATCTGTAACTTCAATCCCCTCTATTTGTTTCCTTATTTGTGAAATATAATAATACCTCTACTACCTATGCTGTAAAAATTACATGCTAATGCTTTCTTGGGAGGTACAATCCCAGGAAAGTAAAAGTGAGGGAGAAAGGGAAGTGAATCAGCCGGTAGGGAAACTAGATCTAATATGATTCATTATTGAGTTAGCCACAACTTGCCAAGAAAACATGGCTATTTGTTATATCAAGTGAGTCATCTTTAAATAGGTTATAGACTACCCATCAGTCCTTGGATTGGTTTGTCTAGGAAAACAAGGGAAATGCATTCATCTGCTAGCCCTCTTTCATCTCTTGACTCTCGTTGATCAGATGTTGCCTTATTGGCACATTAATCCCAGTGTGCTTTCAAGTTGCATTATGGACTCCACTCATGCAGCTCCTGGAGAAACTAGAAACCTTATGACTCAGGGCAAAGTTTCATTTGAGTCTGTTAGTAAAGGGAGAAGCCAGATCCTCCCAACCAAATGGTGTAAGCATGGACCATTGATCTAATGTGTCTTCTGCAGAGGTGGGTACCATGAAGGCTGTGTCAGGGCCCCACCCTCGCCTGGGGAAGGTTATGAAAACAGGGGGTGTTAGGCAACAGGGTTATAATGACGGCAACCATGGCTCACCTTTGAGCAAGTGGCCAACGTCCTAGGAGTTAGGTTGGTTCAAGCAAATTGGGCTTATACCTAGAACTGAAACATATATTTTAAGAAACAATGACTTAACCATTCTAAAAAATTTTTACTTTTATTCTTATGGGGAATGTCTAAGAAATTACATGGACTACTTCTATGGTAACAGTGAGTGCCAGGAGAGCTATAGGATATGGGGAGCAAAGTTTTCTTTATCTGTCTTATATCATCCTAAAATTTAGGTAGATGTTATGTGATTCTATTAAAACCCATATATTAGCAAATCTGTTAAAACTTGTCCTAATTTTGTCATTCAGAAAAAATAAAGGGAGCAAATATTCTGACAGAATTGTGTGATAGTGAAAACTCATAAACAGTTTAGTCCACCATTTGTGAGCTGTGCAAATATGTTTCTGTTTCACTCTTTAAAGACCATTTCTGGCCCTGGCTTGTTAGTTAACATTTCTTGGATGAGTTGGAAAATGATGCATATCAAATGACATCAAGTAGGGTAGAAACACCTTCTGAAGCACACTGTTCCTTTATTTGGGTCAGAGAATTGAACCTCCTAGAACCCAACTGGGGCTAAACAGCTGCCAACATGATTCACTTCCCTGATGAGAATGCACATCTCTGCAACTTTTTGGATAGTGGACAAAAGTAGATTTTTATTTGAATAATTTTTTATTGATAAGACATATTCTGAAGAAATGGGACTAAGGAGGCAGTCTCAAGGGAGAATGCACGGAGAAAAAAGTGCTATACTCTGATCTTTATTTGCTGGAAAGCCTGAGATTCATGTTTCCCTTCTGTTCCTTCCCTCCTCCCTTTTTCCCTCCCTTTCTTCCTTCCTTCTTCCATCTCTTTATGAATTAACTTTCCTACTTTCTGAACATAAATCAGCTAGGCTGATAAATTCCATCTTACATTGTATCTGAGTGATGTAGGTTGTATCTGAGTGATGCCATCTAGCCAGAATGGAGACTATTATGTTTCTGGTAGTACAATGATGAAAAGTAAATTGTTCATTTTTCTTTTAATGATTTTTCATTTCCTTTTTACTCTATTAGATTAAAAAAGCTAGTTATAAATGCTTCCAAAGAAAGCAACATCATACCATAGGGTAAAGTAACAAGAGGACATTGGAGCATTATGAGCCTGAAAAACATTCCAAGAATAGGATTCAAAGCTGGAAATAAATTAGATTGAATTTTTTGAAAGTTTTAAACTGTATTCATAGTAATAAAAGTGTTTACTTTCCTAAGTAGGAATCAAAACTTTTTAGGTAAGAAATATTATTTTCTGGGAAGCAGAAATATTGTTGTAGATCCACCCATGTTCGGTGAATCAGTATAGACACAGTCTATTTGTTTGAGATACTAGTGCTTTTTTACATAAATAAACTTTTGGAAAAAATGAAGATTTGTAAAAATTTTTGATAGTGTTATCATATGTGATTCAAATATGCTTGAATATATGGATGTGTGTGTTAAAACTGATCTTTGTAATCAATGTATTTAATATACTGATGAGAACTTTCTTTTTTTTAGTGTGCTGTTATAGTTTAAAGTTTCTAAAAAAAAAATCAAACAACCCCATTAAAAAATTGGCAAAGTGCATGAACAGAAACTTTCCAAAAGAAGATTGACTTATGGCCAAGAAACATATGGAAAAAAAGCTCAACATCTCTAATCATGAGGGAAATGCAAATCAAAACCTCAATGAGATATCACTTAACTCTAGTGAGAATGGCTTTTATCAAAAAGTCCCAAAACAACAAATGTTGGTGTGGATGCAGAGAGATGGGAACACTCATATACTGCTGGTGGGACTGCAAACTAATATAATGTAGTATGGAAAGTAGTATGGAGATACCTGAAAGAGCTAAAAGCAGAACTATCATTTGATCCAACAATGCTAGTACTGGGTATCTACCCATAGGAAAAATGACATTCTGTAAAAAAAAGACATATACACTTGAATGTTTATAGCAACACAATTCACAATTTCAAAAATGTGGAAACAACCCAAGTGCCCATCAATACACAAGTGTATCAATACAATGTGGTATATGTATACCACGGAATATTACTCAACCATTAAAAAATGGTAAATTACCTATTGTATTATTCTGGATGGAGCAGGAGCCCATTGTTCCAAGGGAAGTATCACAAGAGTGGAAAAACAAACACCACATATACTCAACATTAAATTGGTACTAATTGATCCACACTTAAGTGCACATATGGGAAGTAACATTCATAGGGTGTCAGGTGAGGGGGGGTAAATCTAAACCTAATGGACATGGTACACCATCTGGGGGAATGGGCACACTTATAGCTCAGACTTGGGCAGTGCAAAATAATGTATGTAACCAAATTATTTGTACCCCTGTAATACTCTGACATAAAAATAAATAAATAAAAATTTAAAAAAAATAAAGTTTCTAAACAATTTGAAGATTTCTTGTTATTGTTTTGTTTTTCTGTTCCAACTATGGAGGAGGAGGATTCTGTGTGCTACAGCACCAAAGAAAACAGCTATAGACATTATTTTCACACATATTTTATACATTGTATCTTATGTTACAATACCAATTTCAAAATTCAAGTTTAACTATATGTTTCCACATTTTATTTATTTTTAAAAAATAGAAAATTCTCTCACAATACCAGGAAGATGTATGCCATGGGTTGAATTATGTCTCCCCTAACAAAGATATGTCCTAACCTCCAGTACCTTAGAGCATAACTATATTTATAAGGTCTTTAAAGAGATAATTAAGCTAAAAATAGATCTTCAGAGTGGGTCCCAATTCAATATGACTGGTGTTTTTATTTTAAAGGTAAATTTGGACACAGAAACACATAGAGAAAGATGGTGTGACTGCACTGGGGAATACCAAGGAGCCCCCGAGGCTACCAGAAGGTAAGAGAGAGAGGTATGGAACAGATTCTCCCACATATACCTGAGAAGAAACCAATGCTGTTGACATCTTGAGTTTGGAATCCTAGCTTCCAAAACTGTGTGACAATAAATTTATGTTTTTTAACCCACCCATTTTTTGGTACTTACTTATATAGCCCCAGGAAAGTAATACTAGGTTTGTGTTCTAAATCATCCTCAATATGATGTATTTGGGGTTATGAGTTCTCTGTAGATTATTTTAGGGAGTGACTTACTCAATATTGTTGAGTAAGAGGAGGATAATTAGCTTGATAGTTTATCATAATGTAGGAATACTCTGACTTGGAATAAATATAAACAAAAATGTTTGTTTACTCTCTCTGCAAAGCCTTTCAGTTGAGAAAAAATGTTTAACACATGATAAAATAATAAAAGTTATGGGAGGGAAGAAATGTGATTGTGTCAATTGTAAGGTCCTTGTAGGAAGATGACTCCCAGATTCCTGCTCCTTCCTGATACACAAATCCTGTGTAATGCTCACCCCTTGAGTTTAAAAGGCACTTGTAAATAAAATAGGATTTCACTCTTATGACTATGTTACATTACATGACAAAAATAATTTTTTCAAATGTATTAAGTTTCCTAATCAGTTGATTTTGAGTTAGTCAAATGGGAGATTATCTTGAGTGTGGCTGACATAATAAGGTGAATTTTTAAAATGATTGGAGAGATTGGAACCGAGATTAATTTTCTTACTGGCCTTGAATGAGCAAATTTCCACATGGTGGGAAATGGTGGATAGCATCTAGGCTCAGAGGATGGCTGCCAGTTGTTAGCTAATAAGAAGTTCAGAAAATCTGTCCCACCAAAATGCAAGAAAATAAATTATGCCAACATCACTAGTGACTTTGGAAGATAACCATGAGACTGAGATAAGATCACAATACTGGTTGACACCATAAGTTTAGCCTGTGAGACCCTGAATGGGGAACCCAATAATGCTGAGGTTGGACTTTTGACCCAAAAGACTATAAGATAATAAATGGATGTTGTTTTAAATTACTAAGTTTATGGTAATTTTTTAAGTTGCCACAGAAAGCCAAAATGTCCTTACAATACATATAAAGTGGTATACTATTATTTTAAAATATACCTTGAATAAGTAAAGAAGTATAATGTAAAGACTAGAATAACCACTAAACCCAATTTTAAAAAATGAAAAAAATTAAACCAATAATGGAGGAAAAAAGGAATAAAAAAATACTTCATTAGTCCAAAAGAAGACAGAAACCAAGCAAACATAAGCCAATGGAGGTTACAGAAAAACATCTAGTAAGTTGACAGATTTTTTTCAAGCCAAATCAATAATGACATCAAGGTATACAGTCTTAACACATCAATAAAAAGACAGATATTTCAAGTTGGGTAAAAAAAGAAAGATCTGACTATATATGCTATCTACAAGAATCCATTTAAATATAAAAATATAGATAAGTTAACAGATGAGAAAAATATACCATTGCAATACTAATAAATAGAAAAGCTTGAATATTTATATTCACATGAGAAAATACAGACATCACAACAAAAATATTACTGGAGCTAAAGAGGATTATTACACAATAATGAAGAAATCAATTTTCCATGAAGACATAATGAAACAACTAACAACAGAATTTCAAAATGTACGATGCAAAGCTGATAAAATTGCAAGAGGAAATAGACAATTCTATAATTATATTTGCACAGTCAGCTCTCATCTTTCAGTAATTAATAGAACAACTATATAAAACATCAATATAACAGTAGAGAACCTTTGAACCGTTTTATCAACCAATTACAATTGTCCCGTACTATCCATGAAGGATAGGTTCCAGGATCCCCATGGATTTCAAAATCTGCAGATGCTCCAGTTGCTTATATAAAATGGCATGGTACCAGCTGGCAAAGGTAGAAGGTACAAGGGATAGGGAGAAGTTGTTTAACAAATATAAAAATTCAGCTAGATGGGAAGAATAAGTTCTAGTAACAGCACTGTATGGTGACTAGAGGTAACCATAATTTATTGTATATTTTCAAATAGCTACATATAAGATTTTGAATCTTCCCAACACAAAGAAATGATAAAACTTTGAGGTGATGGATCTGGTAATTCCCTGATATGATAATTACACATGTGTGCATATATGTATAAATGTATATAGAAATATTACACAATACCCTCAAATATGTACAATTATTAGATCAATTAAAAGTGATAATAAATAAAAATTAGAATATTGTGTTTTATTATTTTATTAACAAATTATGCACTATACAACTATTTATCTGTAAAATTTATAGTAAACATATGAAATTTTTTTTCAGAGAACTTGTTCAATATTTAATAGCACATCACTGATTGAGATCGTGCTTGGAATGGTATGCTAATAAAATATTGTATGTTTCTCTTTAAAAACTAAATAAGCTATTTATTTGAAGAGAACCTATGTACATTCTCCCATATACTTTATATAATCTCTAGATTACTTATAATATCTAACATAATTTTATAGTATGTAAACATTGGCTATACTGTATTTTTAAAATTTGCATTATTTGTTATTATTGTATAATTATTTTTTGATATTTTTGATCTATGATTGGTTGAGTATGTGATGCAGAACCCTCACATATAGAGATCCAACTATATTTAACATGTATTTAGCACTTTACCCAACAACAGCTAAGCACGTATATGTTTTTTTAAGTTGATGGGGAATTTTCATCAAGAGACCTTTTTCTGGGTCATTAAAAAACCTTAAATTATGTATACTAACCATACATTATAGATGTGCACATATACACATACATATACATAAATTTTACATACTATCAAACTTTTGATATCTCCCTAAGGATCCCTGAGCTCTGTTCATATTTTTCAATCTTTTTTCTATTTCTATTCTTCAAATTGGAAAAATTATATGAATGTATGTTCATGTGTACCAACTTTTTCCTCACCATTCTGCTATAAAGTCTATCAAGTAAATATTTTTGTCTCAAATATTGTATGTGTCAATTTTAAATGTTAAATTTGCATTTATTTTTATATATTTGATTTATCTCCTGAGATACACTGTCATTCATTGTGAGTGTATTTCCTTTGACCTTATTGATCATTGTCATATTAAATTCTGTTTTGTTTTGTTTTTTGTAATAATTATAACATCTAGGTCATCTCCAAGTTGACATATCCCTTGAAAATAAATCACATTTTCCTGGCTTTTTGTACTTAAGTAATTTCTGAGTTTATCCTTGACATTATGAAAATTATGTTGTGGAAACTCTGGATTCTGTGATTTGTCTCCAAAGGGTGTTGTGTTTGTTTAGCAGAAGTTTAACTTGGTTCAAGTCTCTGAAATCAGTTCAGATGGTCAGCAGTCTGCCTCATACATGTGGGCTTAAAGGGTGGTCAGATATTATTTACTTTATTTGAAGTTTTTTATTTTCTAAATTTTGTTTTTGGAGTTTTCCTCCTCACTTTTCTTTGAGCCTGGTTGTCCCCTTCACTGTTTTTCAAGGCCAGAAAAAAAGGGCTCATATATATTTTGAAATCAAAGTTTTAGCCATTCTACATTCCTGCCTCAGCACTGGCAGTGCCATCAGTCACAATTAAAAAAAAAGGGAACTCCACGTGTGCCGGTTGCATCTTCCGTGTGTTTCGTGTTTACAACTCGCCAAAGTCTGCCAATTTTTCAATCTCCCCAGTAATCAGATATTATTTTCCTCAGTTGTTTAAGAATTTATAATTGATATATGTGGGAGGGTGAGTGGTTCTAGAATCTTACACCTTCGGTACATGGAGCAGTAGATTTGTGTTTGTGTGTGTGTAATCAAAAATATGGTGGACTACCTTTTTTTAAAAATGTATATTTTGGGCTCTCTTTATATTTCTGCAAAGGTGAAGAGTTTTTGCTTTGTTTAATTATTATATGACAGCTAATGTAGTTTTATTCACACAATGCTAACCATTCTTGTTTGCTATTGCCAAGAGACAAGGAAAATAAATGCATAATCACCTTGTTGTCCACACAATTTGACTATATAATATAGTATGTTTGCATAATCTTTCCCGCTAAGGAATCACTTTATTTTTTTTTCCCAGGTATCAACTGTCCTAGAATGGATAGAAATGTTAGTTGATCTTATAGACTATGAGATTAAGGATGAATAGTAAAAGCTTGTAAAATACAAAGAAAGAACACGAGAACATTGAGGTTAGAATGAAAAAAAAATGGAGTATTCAAGAGAAAGTTTTCTGAGTAACCTTGGTTTCCCAGCTTAAAAACTGTAGCCTGCACTTGACTGAAATATTAGCATTACTGCATATTTTTTGTGTCTTTATTTAGATAAATATTTTATGGTATTTATCTGTCTCCCTTCACCATCCTGCATTCTCTTTTACCTTAGACTAATTTTATAATTATTTTTTCAGAGCTCAAATTTGTCATGAACTTATTTTCTATTTCTTATAATGCGTGTTTTATTTATGCTATGTTAAAATATGTAATTCATAAATATGAGTACTCTTTACATGCAGGGTCTTTCAAGTACTAATTGGAGAGATCTGGGACTTTGAGTATAGTAGGCATAAATCTTAGAACCAATCCCACCTCTGAAGACAAACATTTTTGACTGGAATTTGTGGCGATAACAAACTCTTCAGTGCACACCCTCCTAAATGCATGTTCTTTCATTGTTATAGGTTTATGTTCAATGATGCATAATATATGAAAAAGTTCTGGAAATTGATACATGGTAAACAAGTAGATATTATATAGTGTATTATTTTTAAATTTTGTACATTTACTGGAGCTTGAGACATTGTTTTACTTTCCCTTATACTGGTGGCCATCATGAGCTCAAGAATGCGATAAAGGTCTGATAACAAGAATCTATCTAGAGCTTAAAAGAATCAACAAGAAAAAAATCAAATAACCCCATCAAG